TCGAGCTCTACAAACTGGTATACATCCCATTCAAAAGTGAGACTCACTCTTGGGAATGTTCTCTCGTGAGCTATACATGCTGACTTCGTATCAAAAAACCAGCATATCTCTTGAAGTCAATGACATCTGAAATACATACGTGACACAATTTCATATACGATTAGATTTCTTAAGATAATTATTATAAAACAATTGATTTCATCAAATGAATAGTAGTAATATAAAATCAGTTTTGTTATTCTATACTTATCAACGAAATGTATATAATTAGATTCGCTACTGTGTCTAGATTTATAATCATTTCAATGGAATAATCTGTAGTATTGTCAGCAGATAGATTAAGTTAAAAGCAAGAAATCTGTCAACATGTATCTCAATGGTATATCTTCATTAGGAAACGCCTGATCATATTTAGTTGTATCTCAATGCGCTTCATAGTCAATCTGAACTCATTGATGCGCATTTATTTAAAATAATTCCTTCTAATTTACTCAGACAATGCGCAATACTTTTGAAAGGATTAAGATAATTTTTTCCGTTTAACGTGGTAATCTCTGATTACAGTATGATTTCTGGGTTTAAGCAATGTGATTAAGATACAGTTTATTTTTTTTAATAAGTGACTGCTCGCACATTGATTGGTAAACATTGTTCAATGTCTTGATAAACTGTTTTTTGAAAAAGTCAATTATCAACATTGCATTCTATCCTTTGCAATGCGTTGCACCCCAGCAATTTCTCAAATGAAAACGTATATCTTCTTGAAATCGATGCATGGGAAAAAACGAAACAAAAAATTGTGGAGGCTGCCGATATCCGAAAATTTTTTTTGTCATTCATCGATTTTTAAGATGTTCTTCATTAACTGCTGTAAGTAATTCATCAGTATCCAGTATATTTCTAAATTTGGGTTGAGAGAGATTCGAGCAGAATAAAAATACAACTATCGATTTGCATGTTTACACCTACTGAAAGTAAGGATGAGTGATTTCTTCGCCTACCTATCCACATCCACGTCCTCATCCTTTTCGAACTATTTCATCTGAATTGAAATGTGCTCTTTAAACATTCCTTTTTAAAATCTTGTGTTCCAAGCAGACTAGTTTCATGGTGCCTTGACAAATAGCTCACAGCAGCTAGATTCAGCGAAAGTCAGTTTTGTAGAGAATCAAACGTCGAATTATTCAGTAATAAAATACTGAAAGGTCTATTTTTGTATAGTCCACACAATATTTTTTTCACCGAGGACTTGCATAAAATTTGAGAAATCCGCATTCATCAAGAGTAATGAGAGATATCATGATCCTTTGGTAATAGTTCATAATACTAGTAATTATGTTCTTTTATGTAGATCCAGCATCAGCATGTCCATCGGGCATTATGAGATATGACTACCTAGTTGAACTTCATAATGCAACTGCTTTTGATTTTGCACATTATCAGCACTCATATCGTGCAGTATCTAATCGGACAACATTGTTATTTGCATTTGTTCACTATACAAGTCGATGGGCGCTGGATGATATTTCTGTTGCACGTCTCAATACTACTAATAATTTAATTGTTAATGGTGGATTCGAAACCGGTACACTGACTCCATTTTCACTGTGTCGTACGTGGGCTTCGTCCTCAACTAGAACACTTCATTTGGGTTCTGGTAAAACTGGTAATTACTATTTAATTAGTGAAAATAAACAACCATACGATATTTTATGGCAAACATTCACCACAATTCCACAACAAGAATATGTGATCACATATTCACTATGGAATTTCGGTTCAGCACCCAATGCATTTTTTGCATACCTCGGAGCATTGAATACTACAGGTAATAATTGACCTTCATTCATATCTCATTCTTTACAAATCTGTTTATTTTCTAGGACAAACAATACTTGCTTCAACAAATACTGAACATAATATTCCAAGTAAAAATAAAATTAAGCAAGACGATGCGACTCTAATACATCTTTCTATAGCTTTTCGTAAAAAAAACTATCACAATCTAAAATTCTAGCATGATTCATAGTCGAATGATATCTCATATTGGTTTAGCTTACGAGGTAACACCACGAACTGATCAATCGCTTTTTAAATTCTAGTCATGCCAATTTGTAGAGCTTGTTGAGTTGTTAACTGATATAATAATCATTCGAGCCAACAATACAGCTGTAGAGTAAATTTCTGATAATCAAAGTTTCCATTAACCTCTTCGTACCCTATAGTGATCCGACAAGGTCTCTATAGGATCACCATAGGGAATGGACAGGTTAGTGGAAACTTTGATTATCAGAAATTTACTCTACAACCGTATTGTTGGTATGAATGAATATTATACCAGTTAATAATTCAACAAGTTCTACAAATTGGCATGACTAAAATTTAAAAAGCAATTGATCAGTTCGTGGTGCTCCCTCGTTAGCATATCATCAATAGATGATGATTTCATATCACTGTTAACTAGTTAGATTGCTATTAAAGAGCAGATCGAAGTTTTTTTTTTATAGTTTCTAATGAAACGTCGATTACGATTTTATGAGATAAGGTTTTCATGACGCTTAGAAGATGCCGACACTGAAGCGGTTTGTGAAAAATTTGAAAACTAAAATGTAGTAATATTTCATGCCTTTTCATATCTTTTTACTAGTTTGTCCTGTATCTCAATATTATCGATAAGCTGAGTCGTGATTTCTTACAACTTTCAAAAGAAAAAAATGTACGCGCCAACTTGAATTTTCTCGAACATAGAAAAGAATACAGCTCAGTTATTTGTGCAGAGAATTTTTCACGTATCAAAATGATATCCAGATGACTTTTCTCATGTAAAGTATAAAATGTACTTAAAATAGCGCTAGACCGACATTAACTTGTATTAAATTTCAAGAATTTCATAGTCTGTGTTTAAGCCTACTGCGTTGAAAACTGTAGATAGAAATAGGATAACTTTTGTAATAGTGCTACGCTGGATCTTTGAAACGAACTGATTTAATTAAAACGCAATATGAAAGAAAGTTAAATAGAGTACTCCATTCGAAAATTAGTCTAAATGTTCTTTTCGATCACATATACGAGGTAGAATAAATACCGTCATAAAATATAGAAGTCGCATGTTTCGCCATAATATACAATTCATCTTTGTCACATCTCTTTATTTTCTAGAACAACCAATGGTTATTGCAACAAATACACAATCGTCTACCACAAGTAAGAGATAAATATAGATAGACAAATTCTTATTAGATAGAATATCACTTATCACTGGAAATTGATTAGAATGTCATCGATGAGCAGTAGATTGAAGGTTTTTCTTTGAAATGCAAGGCTGATTCTGATTTTGATGAGGTATAGTAAAGTCCTCCAAAATGCACTTTTTAATTGCTGCTGGAAAATTCAGTTTATTATCAATAGTTATACAAAGCAAGAGTCTATCACTTTTCATTATATATTTTCTACACGAGATCTTGAATAAAACTTAGAAAATCGTTTGAAATATGTATTCATCAGGAGATATGATGAGCCATTGTCAATCATTCAAAATGATATTAATCATTTCGTATTTTGTAGAAAACTCATCGTTATTATGTCCAACAGGTATCATAAAGTATGACTACCTATTCTATCTTTATAATACAACCGCCTTTAATTATACTCGCTATGAGCAAACATATCGTGCATTATCTGATCGAACAATATTGTTATTTGCATTTGTTCACTATAAAAGCCAATGGGCGCTAGATGATATTTCTGTTACACGTCTCAATACCACTACTAATTTAATTATTAATGGTGGATTTGAAACTGGAACATTGACTCCATTTTCAGTATGTCCTCCATCGAATACATACTCAGCTGGAACAGTTTATCGGGGTACTGGTAAAACTGGTAATTACAGTTTCGTCGATGGTAGTTATCAACCATATGACTTTTTATGGCAAACATTTACCACTGTTCCACAACAAGAGTATGTGATCACATATTCATTACGAAATTTCGGTCCAGCACCAAATTTGTTTGTTGCATTTCTTGCTGCATTAAATACTACGAGTAATTATTATTCTTCATTCTTTGCACATATATATTTATTTTTTTTTAGCACAAACAACGAGTACTTCGACAACTACACAACAACCTACCACAAGTAAGAGATTATTCATTGTTGAGAAATATGCGTAGATCGACAAATCAGTAGCCCGAAAAGAAAGATAAGTTTAAGTATCACTGGAAACCGATTAAAATGTAATCCATGAAAATTTAAATCTATTGAGCTGGTTTTCTCCTTAGGTAGCTTGTTAGCATTCAAATAATTTTTCTTAATTAAGACTTTTCTGATAGTCTAAAAGTTGTACGAAATGAATACGAGACAAGAATGAAATGGGTGTGGGTGAGTGTAGGGTCTTCTCTTCAGTCATACGCACACCCACACCCTAGTAAATATTTTATTTCTCTATCAAATAACCCACCACAGTCATGATTTAGATCCAATTCAAATTTTCTTCATAATTTGTTTCCTGCTCGAGAGATCTCTGTATTAATATTCATTGATTTCCACTTTATAGAAAATCCATTGTTAGCATGTCCATCGAATATTATGAATTATACAAGACTATTGGTTCTTTCAAATAGAACCGCTTTCAATTATACATATTATCAGTACATATATCGTGCAGTTTCCACGCGTTCTATATTGTCATTTGAATTTTACCAGCAACCAAGTTACTGGTGTCTAGATGATATTTCTGTCATGAAGTCGAATACCACTGAAAATTTAATAATCAATGGTGGATTTGAAACAGGAGAACTCTCTCCATTTTTATATTGTGCTAAATCGATTATAGAATCATCTGGAACAGTTTATCGCGGTTATGCTAACACTGGTATTTTCAGTTATCGTGATGGTAGTACCATCACTGGTAATTACATATGGCAAGAATTCACGACTGTTCCACGTGAACAATATGTGATCACATTTTCATTAAGAAATCTTGGTTCAGCACCCAATACAGCTTATGTAACTATTGCTTCATTAAATACAACAGGTGAAATTTTTCCTTAATTCACAAATTAATCATTTCAGATTTTCTAGGACAAACAACAAGTCCTTCAAAAACTACTGTACAGCAGACTACAAGTAAAAGATAAAAGAAGAAAAGTTTAACTGTAGTATAAATTTAAGCATGATTCATATTTGATAGCTAACTGAAGGGTTTCACTTTCGAATGCAAGACTGATTAAAAATTTAGAGGAGGGACTTCCAAAACGAACATTCAATGCTTTTGTTTTAGTTTTAATGATTGCTAAAAAATTTAATCGAATATCATTGAACCTTGATAATCCTTGTTATTACTTGTGTCTTCAACTATCGAAGTTTACATCTAGATTCGAAACTCTTTTGTCAGTTTTTCCTGGTTCTGAATATCTTCGATAAACTGAACAATAATTTTTCACAATGTTTAAAAAGCAAAAAAATCTGAATTGAGAAGAAAATTTTCGAATATGTTACACTTCATTGATTAAAAGAGAATTTTTCTTTTCTAAAATGTTGAAATATTTCTGGTGCTATGGAAAACATAATTGTTTGATTCTCTCCTGATGATTTTTCTCAACATCTTCATGAAGATGTAGAAGATAAAAAAAACAGTTTTGAAGTAATTGTCTAAAAAAAGTTTTTCATTGAGTTGTATAACACAGATTGATAATGTATCCAAAAAAAATTGCTCAACATAAAATCTTTTCTCTTCTTGTATCTAGATTTGACAACAACAACTCGTCGTACAGATATATCAGGTGAATAATGTTATTTTAGAAAAAGAAATCATTTATATTTTAATCTTCTTATGCCATTTTTCAGTTACCAATTCATTATGTCCAAATCCACCTTTAATTGCTAATAGAACAGTAACATTACTCACACGTGTCAATTCATCAGAATTTAATTATACATATTTTCAATATATATATCGTGCAATATCGAATCTTACAACTTTAACATTTGCTTTTTATCATGATCCAAGTTACTGGTGTTTAGATGATATATCTGTTATGAAAATAAATAGTACTATTAATTTAATTATTAATGGTGGATTTGAAACAGGTTCAACATCTTCTTATTCAGTCTGTGCACCATCCAGTGCAAATCCAGCAGGTTATGTTTCTACAGAATGTCCACATACAGGTTTACGTAGTTTTTATGATGGTAGTTATTTATCTGGTGATTATTTAAGTCAAACATTTATAACTGATATTGGAAAAGATTATCAAATTAGTTTTTGGCTACGTAATTTAGGATCAATACCGAATTCAATTAAAGTTACTGTTACAGGCAATGGTAAGAAAAAAAAATATCTTCTTATAATTGAAATTCAATTGAATCTTGTTTTTTAGTTATTTCTTCTAATTCAACAACAACAACTCAGACTGGTAAGAGAGAAACATTGAAGAATTTTTTTTTAAAGAACTTGTTTCCTTTTCTTTTCCTCTTATTGAAGCAATGACAACTCTTTCAACAACACCAATTACTATAACCCAATGTCCAACATTATCAAAAAATTCAACAACAGAATTACTCTCTCTTACAAATTCACCTACATTTAATTATACACGTTTTTCATTTATTTATTATGCTACATCGAATCGTACTCTACTATCATTTGCATTTCGACAAGATCCTTCTTATTGGTGTTTAGATGATATTTCTGTTAAATTAAATAATACTAATACAAATATATTAGTCAATGGTGATTTTGAAACGGGTGTACTTACTGGATATTCTATTTGTAATCAAAATTCGAGTAGATTCTCCGGTGGTATTTCAGCTATTCAATGTGCTCATAATGGACAACATGGTTTTTATGATGGTAGCTATGCTAATTTTGATTATCTTTGGCAAGTATTAACAACAATTCCAGGAAAATATTATGAAATTAGTTTTTGGTTGCTTAATTTGGGTTTAACACCAAATTTATTCAAGGCTACTATTGGACCATACATTATTTCAAATGGTATGATTAAATAAACATTCAAAAATCCTATTTGATTTTCTACTGATTTTTTTTTAGTATCAACAACAATAGCCACTCACACAACGACGAGATATCTTACTACTACAAGTGAGTAAAGTATATAAAGAAGTTCTAAAAGTTTTTCTAAGAACAATACTATTACTTTGATTTTTTTTTCTTTGTTTAATTAATCATTCGATCGTGTTTTTTTTTTCTTCAGCTTCATCTACGATTCAATCATGTCCACCATCATTTCAAAATGCTACACGTTTACTTTCACTTGTCAATGTAGATCCATTCAATTACACTCATTATTCTTATACATATGTTGCAAAATTTTCTCGTACTACACTAATATTTGCTTTTCAACATCAGCCAGCACGGTGGTGTCTCGATGATATTTCAGTACGAATGAATAATTCAAATGAATATATTGTTGATGGAGGCTTTGAATCTGGTGTTCTATCATCTTATTCATTATGTAATCCATCGAATTCATCATCTATTGGTAAAATAGCTACACAATGTATAAAGACAGGCAGCTACAGTTATCTTGATGGTAGTTATCCGAAGCCGGATTATTTGAGTCAAACATTTTCAACACAACCAAGCTATGTATACAAAATTAATTTTTGGCTTCGTAATCTAGGCTCAGCACAGAATTCAATGAATGTTACAATTTATTGACAAAAATATGTTTTATCCGAAATGCGTTTTTTTTCTTCATCTAACAACTTTTATGCGGGCGCTTTTTCTAAATTTATTTGTTGCTTTTCTATCCAAGCACATTTTTGAATTATGCTTTACACAATTTCTTAAGGCGTGAAATAAAACTTTTAAAAAAACATACTTAATTTAGCTAATCATAGAATGCATTTGAGTTAAAGTGAAATTCAAATTTTAAGTTAGATACATAGTAGTTTACAAAACGAGTTGGTCTCATATTTTTCAGTCATGCTCTCCTAAAATTCATTCATATTGATTAGTCCCAGCATGGTTAAGTAACTGACAAAGAATACTATGTACGTATGCATTAGTAAAACTAGTCAGTTAGAATAAGAATTTCATGCTCTTTCTAAATATATATTTAGATTTTTTTTTCAGCTTAAAATTGATTCAATAGGAGCAAATCTTCGATGTGAATCAAAAACGACGTTTGTACAAAACACTAGTTTCGAAGGACTTAATAACTGTGTTTACTCATTTTTCGGACATTTGACTGTAATTGAAAATGATCAAAACTGACTAGATAGAACCAGAATTCGATGCTCTTTTTAAATATATCCTTCGAACCTGATCTTGACTTGCTGCTAGTTAGCTATAAACAAACATCTGAATACATAAAAAATGCCGTTTGTGCCACGCAAAAGAAGCTTTTTCCATCATAGACAATTTTTCGACAGGGTATTTTGAAATTATTTTTCCTTTCTAGTTTTGCAGAAAATTTCATGCGATACAAAATCATGGATTCAAATAAGTTACATCTGAAAACAGTTTTCCAAATGTCACTCTGTAGATGAGATGAAGTTTTTCAAAATAACCTGTTTTTGAGAATTTCAATATTTACAATACAACAGATTCTGACGCTTTTCGGCATTATGTGGAAAGCCAAGAAAGTTGCTCATTTTGTAGAGCAAGTTTCGTTCTACAAACTAACTTATACGAAAGCTTTTCTATAATTAGAATTGAGGCAGTTTTAATCAATGTACAAAAATGCACTACATCAAAGATTCTGTACAAACGCCGGTTTTGGTTCACATCGAAGATTTGCTCCTATTGAATCAGTTTTAACCTGAAAAAAATCTGAATATATACTTAGAAAGAGCATGAAATTCTTATTCTAGCTGATTAGTTTTGATTGTCTCCTGCAACCTTTAAGTGAAAGACAATTGAACATATATTTTGTGCAAAGACTTTTTACATGCAGGTTACATCCACACCTCACACCAACATCCTACACCCTTACGTAGACATTGCAGAATGAAAGTTGCTGAGTTTCTTCCAACCAACACTTTTCTCGAGTGTTATTCTTTTTTTTTGTGATGTTAGTCACATGTGCTGCTTATTTTCAACCCACCTCTGTAGTACAGATTCCGCAGGGTGGGTGTGGGTGTGGGGTGACAAGCAGCCATGACACGTGTTTCGTCCGAGCAAAGGGACTCGACAGATGGCAATTGATACTTAATGAATTAAAGAATAATCCAAAGCACCGAATTTAAACTGTTACCCCAAGTACAAGCTTGAGAGTAATGTTAAAATCATGTCATAGTGTGTGACAAGCAGCCATGACACGTGTTTCGTCCGAGCAAAGGGACTCGACAGATGGCAATTGAGGGTGTGGGTGTGGGGTGTGGGGTGTGGGTGGGTGGGTGGTGGGTGTGGGTGTGGGTGTGGGTGTGGGTGTGGGTGTGGATGTGGGTGTGGGTGTGGGTGTGGGTGTGGGTGTGGGTGTGGGTGTGGGTGTGGGTGTGGGTGTGGGTGTGGGTGTGGGTGTGGGTGTGGGTGTGTTACAAATAGAGTGATTCAAAGCATCATACGACGCGTTTCGACTGGAGCTTATCCCAGTCATCATCAGGTACGTTCTGAATCAAATAATACATAGATATATAATTTAGAGGATATATGTAGGAATAAAACCTTAATATTGAAGATAATTTTGTATGATAGTCAGAAAGACCTACAACAGAAATTATTACAAAGGTTCTAGACCGATATATCAAACTAAGTTATATATGTAAATCGTAGTAAAATGTAATGGGTGTGTTACAAAATAGAATGATTCAAAGCATCATACGACGCGTTTCGACTGGAGCTTATCCCAGTCATCATCAGGTACGTTCTGAATCAAATACTACATGGATATATAATTTAGAAGATAGATTTCAAAACCTATATATTGAAGTAGTACTATGTGGAAGTCAGAAAAAGACTAACAGCAAGTAAATGTCTCAGAGGAATATGAAATAAAAATCTTTGAATCATATACAGGACATAGTTATTCCTCAGTAAATGGTGTGTTCACATAAGAATATAAATGTTCAAGCATCATACGACGGATTTTGAATTTGGGAAGCAGTGTGGATATTGATGAGTGTTGTTTTTGAAGGTGAGGTCGGTTGTCTACGAGTTGAAGAATTATATATGCTTATGAAGATTGATATGTAGAAGTTTGGTTACTTACTATTCGACCCTTTTTTTGCGAAGTGATTGCATTGTAATGTTTTTGTTTTGTCCTCATTTCGTTTGGTGGAGCTATCTGTAGGTGAGTGTTGGTTGAAATTTGTGGGGATCACTGTTGAGAATAGTCTTTGGCATGGCTCATGGTTTATTCCAGGAAGTAATCGTTTTTTCTGAATTTGTTTTGCGTATTTATTGTATTTCTCTGTAGATAATTTTTGTTTGTTTCTGTTATTTGTTGTTTTTTGTGTAGTGGATGCGGTTCGTCTAGAATAGAGCAATTTGAAGATGGAGTATTAGCACCAATTTGTGGGTTAATGTTTGAAGCTTTTTTGACAGAGTTGAGTTTGGTTAGTTTTGATTTATTTATTTTTGGAAATAACAAAGAGATATTACAAAAATATGTATTTTTACGAAAGAAACATGTTTATATTTTTGATTATGGGATTTACAGTTTTGTTGTTAGTCTACTGGCATTGGTGCCTACGAGTCTTCTCGGTGGGTCAAAATTGCTTTTGGTGGCTTTTTATGGATGAAGAATTTTTCAAGTGTCGCGTTGGTAGTAGTTACTGGTTGAACTTTAATTTTTTCCAAAGTTGAGTCGTTGTATGCATAGTGATTTCGCCACCTTTGTGTAAATCTTTTTCGAAAAGCGGTAGATGTAGAACTGTCGAAGAGATAATGCGGATACATGATATTTGGATCCCATATCTTCTGTTGGAATACTGTAGGTGATCGAATCGGATCTTGTGTCATAGTGTGAAGTTGCTTTTCACGTCGTGTCGATTGATACAATAGTTGTTGATGTAGGTGACTGTATGCTTGAGAATTCAATTCATTTAGAACTGACATGGCACTGTTTACTTGGAAGAATCGATTGAATTGATTTCTAATGAAATTTGGTGGATAATTATTTAATAATAGGGGCATATCGATACGAATACATTCTGTATTGAAGTCCTGTACGTCAGAACAAATACGAGCAGCACTTAGTAGAGCAGCACATGGTATATTACGATGAATATGTCTTGGATGATCGGATGTGTATGGCAATATATAAGGTTCAGTAGTTGGTTTATGATAAAGAGATGTTTTTAATTGCCTATTTTCATTTGTTATAGTAACATCCAAAAAATTAACTGATGTATCAATTTCATAGTGAATTTTAATATTAATATCTTTATTGGCAGCTTTTTCGAGTTCGGTTTGAATTTCATCTATGGTTTGGTTAGTTATCATGAATATATCATCGATGTATCTACGAAAGATATATGTTAGTTTAGTTAACCTTTTTCATTTAGTAAGTGTTTAACAAACCTTCCATACATTCCTTCGTGTACTGTTTGATGTTGGATTAAATCTTGCTCCCATTCAAACATATAGATATTAGCCAATACTTGTGTAAATGCTGAGCCCATAGCACCACCACGAGTTTGTTGATAATATTTGTTGTTATAAGCAAAACAATTAGTATCTAATATTAAACGAGCCATTCTCATAATAGCATCAATGGATAATGTACCAATTTTTCTATGATGTGAATTCTTTTCTGAAAATCGCATCAATGCATGTAATGCACCTTCTCGAGGTATCATTGTATAAAGATCAGTCACGTCAATTATAATAAATTTTGTTGTCGTCTGGAAATGACCATCCAAAATGTATTTTTCCAATTTTCGTATCACATCAATGCCATTAATAAATGTTATTTCACGAGCAACATTCAAATATATAGATGCCAATAGATCATTCAAAAATTGCGAGACTAATGTTGCTGGTGCATGTATACAGGCAATAATAGGTCGTAATGGTGTACCAACCTAGATAGAAAGAAAAAGAATATAAATTATGTCTGTATCGTTCCTAAATATATTTACTTTATGTGGTTTCGGTAGGTCATGATAATGACCAAGTTCCAATTTGTTTAATTTTGGAGATATTTTACTATATTGTTGGAAGCTGAGAGCTTTCTGTGCTAGAAGACTAGAGAGTAATGTTTGTACAGCACATAACATATCTGATAGAGGACAACGACCACTTGTAATTTCTTGATAAGCTTTTGTTTTTAACATATATTCTTCAGATTTTCGTGCAAAATCAGTTGCTTTACCAATATAGAATACTTTGCTTTTATCTGTACGACGTATAACAATATCTGACCGGTCACGTAAAAGACGTCGAATACTTTGTACGATTTTTTAGTCACGTTTTGCATGTTTTTCTAATTTTCTGGATAGCTTTTTTGATTGTAATTCATGTAGGATACATTGAAATGCTTGAAATGCTTCTTCTGCTCGTTTATTTGCAGTTGGTATTCGATGATCTTGAAGACAGTTTTTTACACTTTTTGATAAACTTTGATATTATTCAGATACAAGTTGTTCGATAGATTTAGAAGAAAATTGACTTTGACATGGTATAACATATTTGAGATCATTAATAAACATAGACATTTGTTGTGGACTTAAATTTAAATCGACTTCGATAAATGGTAATGAAGCAGTAATTGTAGTATAAATTGACATGTTGCTCCGACGACTACGATACTGCTTCATTCGTTTAAAGTTGTCGAAGCTTCGTCGAAAAAAGTATGCAATTTATGTTTAAGATATAATTCATGACGTTTCTCCATTGCTTGTCGACGATTTTCAATTGCTTGAATCAATAATTCACTGCAACACAGTGCCAATTTATTCTGTAAATCCATAAGTAGTTGTTGATGACCACGTATTATGTTTCGAATAGTGTCAAGATTTAAAGTCATTAAATCAAATTTATATCGTGTAATTGTTTTTGAATAATTTGATACCAAATTAGCACGTCGATCTTTATCAAGAACTTGGTTTGAAAGCATCGGTTGGACGTAGTCCATGAATCGATTAATCGTTTTATCATATGCACTTGGTAATCGTCGTAAGAAAATTCTTTTACGGAGAATTTCTTCTTGTGCTTTTGCTTTTAATATACTTGCTGTTGTTTGCCATATTTGTTTTGCTAGTTGTATCTAAAGTTGAAAAGAATATACAAGTGGAAACATCTAATATGCTGTTTAAACAAACCTGTACTTCATTTGGTTTTAAGTCATAAAATTTTGTAATTAAATTACGATCATTTGAATCTAATGCTAACATTTTCTTTTTATAATCAAATTCTTGTCTTAATCGTTGTTGAGCACTTTTCATACATTCATTTATAGCATTCGATAAAATAGCTGGACGAATGTATGGCTGCCAATGTTTGACATTTTGTTCTGATTGTAATATACATTGTTGTAATTCATTTATTGTACGTTGAAATTGTTGTGTGATGGTTTGTAGACGTTGTTCAACTATATGTTTAGGAAAACCATATGTACGACATGTATGATGTTGTTTAACAAAAGATTTTGATACTCGTGGTGCCCATTTATTTTCTTTTATGTTAAGATCAAAATAATCTTGCCAGAGTTGACGTTGTAAATCGAAATAATATAAATTATTTGTTGTTTCAGTCATTTGATGAACAAATTGAAGTTTTTTAT